GGATTTCAAGGTGTTGGTTATTACCTTTAAAGCCCTACAAGGCTTAGGGCCAGCATACCTGCGAGACCACCTACTGCCACACTCCTCCCAACGGCTGGGTGAGATCCACAGGGTGGGCCTCCTTCAGATGCCGTCAGCCAGACAATGCTGGCTGGCGGCTCCCCAGAGGAGAGCCTTCTCTGTGGATGCTCCGACCTTTTGGAACGAGCTACCCCCAGAAATCCGGACCTTACCCACTCTCATGGCCTTCAGAAAAGCTGTTAAAACCTGGCTATTCCGACAGGCCTGGGGCTGTTGACCTCATTGTTGAGGTCCAGCCCCGATCGCAATGAATGTATGCGTGTTGATTTTAACCTGTTTTTATTTTCATTTTTTATTTTTATTATTTCTTTTTCTTTTGTTGTAAGCTGCCTGGAGTCCTCTGGGATTGGGCGGCCTATAAATCGATTTAAATAAATAAATAAATAAATAAATAAATAAATAAATAAATAAATAAATAAATAAATAAATAAGTGTATAAGTGAATTAAATAGTCTGGAAATGCAGCCATATAAAGATTGGAGATGGTGAGTTGTAGTCCTGCTGTAGGCATAAAGCCAACTAGATGACCTTGGGCCAGAGTCACTGTCTCTCGACCCTAGAAAGGATGTCCTGGAAAAAACACTTCCAAAATCTTTCCAGAAAACTCCAGGGAGTTTCCAGATTGTCACCAAAAGTAAAAAACAAACAAATCAGACTTGAAGGCACTCAATAATTAAATAAATAATAAAGAAAGAAAGCTCTACCTATAGCTGTACATTCCCCAGAATGTTCAAATGTAGCTAACATTATTTTGTCAGCTGTGCTTGGGAAGCAGGCATATATTTGAAAAGAACAGGAAGAACTAAATAAAGCCATTTTATTTACCTGTAGCAACCAGAAGTCCAGGGACTGTCTCTTTGCTTGAAATGCTGCCTGAAGTGTAAGGGTTTTCAGGGACTTGCAAATGTAAGTGCAAGGAACAGAAAGGCTGAAAGAATGGAGAAATTGTATACACAACTGTTGATAAATCGATCTTAAGGATATAGACTAATCTATCCTTTTGATATCAAAGTTCAAATGTTTTTTATTCAAAAATATAATTATCTCCACATTCAAAAATATAATTATCCCCACATTCAAAAATATAATTATCCCCATCAACAACACCAACACCAACAGTTTATTTCCAAAATTAAATTATTATTGCTGCTTATGTGGGTTTCCACATGACAGTAACATGAAAGGCATTCTGGTTTCTGTACTGTACATATTATGGAAATAATTATGAAAATCATCTTCTGCAGAAACTTGCTAGACACCCAGTATTATTCAAGAGTTTTCTTTTCATGGATTTTCAGTTGCAATGGCAGATAATAGTTCAGATCATATGGTATGATTTGTTTCTGGTTTGACTTTAGAAAAGTAAAATTACTAAATCACTTTGCCTTCTATAGTTGGAAACAGCACTGTATAATTAAATAATAATCTTTCCACGCCCTCTTTCTGAAGAAAACAATAAAATTTAAGATAAATTCACATCCTGTTATTAAATGTTCATAATGTTTCCCTGAATAATTTTTTGTGGGGATCAGGGAACCATTAACTATACAGGGTTGAATTTCAAGGAAGTATTCCATAGACATCAATAAGTTTTCTATTTGGGCTTAGGAAATTGACCCAAAATTAGAGCTTGGAAATTTTCCATCACTGACCAGCAGACAGTGAATGGGGTCCCCTCTCAGGTCAGAATCTGGAGCCTTTAGCAAACGCCAGTCTCTTCCTTTATTATAGGTGATGAATGTTTTTATTTGGTCTTCTACTTTCTTGTTAGCCAGCAATATGCCTTTGATCCCTGCTACCTAGGAAAAATGATAAGAAATGAACAACCATATTGCATGATTAGGTAAAGACAAGACAAAATTAAGTAGTGCATAAGCATTTATTAAAAGTCTAAATAATTGCTTAAAGCAAATGTATTCAACACAAGCAACTAAACACTTATTTTTTTTTATTTTCTGAGACCTATTTTACAAAATGAAAATGTCCCTTGGATGTTCCATGTTGCACAATCAGTCTTATCAGAAAAATTCAAAACTTTGACAGTTAAACAAACAAATCAAGAAATAATGTATATAATACATCCATTATTTAAAGGGTGGCTTTCCATCCATTGTGACCATCTAAATGTCAATATAACCATCTGGCAGACAATGGGAAATATCTGTACTCTAGCAAGAACACTTTCAAGTCATATAGAAATCATATGTAATATTTTTAATAAAATTAGAAAGGAATGTCAATTGACTCTTTTTTTCTTGGTAATGTATTTTAATGGAAAACCATTTCATTCAGGACACTTGCTAAATAAAATTAAAAGCTTTACATAATCCACAGTCTGAAGGCAATTAATTCAGAATTACAACTCTATTGCATTACCTCAAACTCCATCTAATCTAGAATTAACCAAAGTAAGGACCACAGACTTCATGAAAGCTTTTGTATGAAAAGCACTGTCCATGAACACTCAGATATTCTTGCCCAATTGAGTAACAGTTGATCATAATGATCAAGAGGGAATGCATCACTGGTTTTAAGAAGGAGAAAATATACCATCTATTTATCATGAATCAGATGATTACAGGGCTTACCACCATTAACAACAATGAAAAACAAGCAACCTTAGACAGATTTTAAAGGATAGAAGATACGTTTTCCTTTGCAAGAAATCTTCCGATTTATTTATTTATTTATTTATTTATTTATTTATTTATTTATTTATTTATTTATTTATTTATTTATTTATTTATTTATTTATTTATTTAGTGTTTGGCATATCATACATGTCATAGTGCTATATATTAACACTTCATCTATATAAAGTAGATAAAGTGTAAAACACAATAAAATTTAAATATTAAAAGGATCTATGTTCAAAAATCAATATCTAGGTCATCTAAGCATTGAAATGCAGCATTGTTTATATTTTAAAAAAATCAGATACTGGACTATGCCATCAGCTTATAGCCAGTCACAATTTGACCTACAGCTTGACATGGGACCCTGCAGTCAAACTGAGTCACACTGCTGGCAGCCAGACTACTCTGTAGATTTTCCTAGCTCTCAAAATACATAGATAGTAATCTGCTGAAAATCATGCATTTTACTGCAGTGAGAAGTCATAAAAGCAGAGTTTCTAGGATTGCAAATATTTGTGTTACTTCAAGAAATAGTATTCAAAAATGCTGAGAGAGAACTAGGAAGGAGAAGAGATTAATATATATGTGACTGAAGGGTGCATATATGCATCAGTCTGTAGGTGCAGAGCCACAAGTCTTTGATCTAGTAGCCAGGGAAGAAAGCCCTTTTTTTAGTGATGGCCACAATCAACTGAACAGCTAATTGTATAAAGGCAGGTCACTGTTTAATTTGGCAATACAATATCAGAATGATTGCACATGTTTTCATATGCTCCCATGTCATCTTTCTGTTCAGAAGAAGAGTGATACACTTGGATAATGCACTCTTTAGGATTCTTCAAGTAAATATAAATATGAACTGAAGAATGAGAATTCCAGAAATGGAACATTTTTTAACATATTGCAATGTAGATTGGAGAAACACAGATGGCATTTTATGCAGAAAAAATTGAATTGTGAGAACCATATTGAAATATTGCTGTTTCGGCCAGTAATGAAATTTTAAAAATCATTTAAATTAAAAGAAACATAGAAGTCTTATATAAAATCATTATCCTTGTAGTTAGGAGCTAGCATACTCAATCCTGAAATATTTATGAAACATTCACAAAATCGCAAAAATATGCAAAAATATCCTACTATTTAAAGGAGAAAATGTTACTGAGACTTAAGATACTACTGATCATCTGCTTGTTGTTGATTGAAGAATGGTTACAACCAGAGATGGGTTCCTACCAGTTCGGATCGGTTTGGATAAGTAGGCAGTTACTTTGCTGGCGACACCCCGTAACCAGTTCTATCTATGGTGGTATAGGCACCACCGTCTTGTTTTTTGCTTCTGCACATTCACAGAAGCATTTTTATGTACTGTGCATGCACGCATAGCGCGCATCAAGCACATATGCATGCAAAGCGCATCCCTGAGTGAACCAATAGAAGAAGCCAGAACCAACCCCTGGTTACAACAAGTGTAATTTAGTTGGTAGTGATAATTCTGTCACTTAGTGGCTGCAGATACAACAATTATTTCTGGGATGTTTCTGATCTTGGAGTTTAAACATCGGCGCTCTCCCTTCCTTCTTCTCGATCTGTTCAAGCCATCCCCAGACTTTGGACCCCCAGACTTTGGACCTTTTAGATCCTCAGGAGAGGGGGAAGACAAGGCATTCCTTGAGGAAGTGGACAAGGCCATGGGAGCTGTGAGTGCCTCCACATGTGTGCTGGACCCGTGCCCCTCCTGGCTGGTTGCTAACAGCAGGGAGGTGACACGGGGCTGGATCCAGGTGGTTGTTATCGCCTCCCTTCGGGAGGGGTTCTTTCCCCCCGCTTTAAAGGCAGCGGTGGTGAGACCCCTCCTGAAGAAGCCATCTTTGGATCCAGCCATTTTAAACAACTATTGTCCTGTCTCCAACCTCCCCTTCGTGGGGAAGGTTGTTGAGAAAGTGGTGGCCTTTCAGCTCCGGCGGTCCTTGGAGGAAACCAATTATCTAGATCCCTTCCAGTCAGGATTTAGTCCTGGCTACAGCACGGAAACCGCTTTGATCGCTCTGACCGATGATCTCTGGAGAGCCAGGGATGGAGGTTATGCCTCCGTCTTAATGCTCCTTGACCTCTCAGTGGCCTTCAATACC